AGTGCTGATGACGAAACCCCGCTGTGTGCTCTCCTTTTCCGCCTTCTGTGAAGCCGTGGTCTCTTTATCGGCCTCTCCAGCTTCGCGCTCGTCGAGCTCCTGTGCCCTAGGATACAAAGAGAAGGCCGGCATGGGATGAACGAGGGAGTCTTTGTGAAACGCACTCCCAAGCGGATTCCGCAACGGGTCCTCAGAGAAGTATCGTGGCTCTGATGCCCTTGGCGGGGCCACAGGGTCCGCCGGTGCCTCCGCCGATGCCTCCGCCGATGCCTCCGCCGATGCCTCCGCCGGTGCCTCCGCCGATGCCTCCGCCGATGCCGCCGCCGATGCCGCCGGTGGCCCCTCACGCACGCGTGCTTCCATGTCTGACACCTACGAGGCGGCAACCAAAGACAATCGAGCGACGGGGGGAGAGAAGTGGCGCAGAGCGTGGGAAACGAAGATACACACAAGAAGAAAAAATTTCAATCACGCCTTTTTTCAGTATTATCACTAAGGGGGAGAAGTAACGCAAAGACTGAAAATCAAACCAAAAGAGAATCTCAAAAGAAAAAAAGAAGAGAAGCTTTTAAGAACAATAAATGAAATCTCCCCCACCCCCATTACACCCGCAGACGCATACCAGGGACACAACAATGATAATCGCTGCCATATGTATGCACACATATATACAGGCCTACTCATAACTGAGACGGGGACCGTCACAGTGGAAATCCCGTCCCATCCCTCGGCACCCTCACCGAGTCGCAACAGTCATCCGTAGGTTCCGCGGCAACGGACTAGTCAGCGCCACGCACGACAGGGAAGGCAGCGACGCAAATGCGCATCGAAGCCGGGGGAGATGGCCAATAAAGAGACTTGGGCGAAGAACAAAGAGGCGCCGCGCAAGTAAAGAACGAGGGGTGAGAAAGAGCTCCTCGGCCGTCATGGTGTCGGCGAGACGGAGTGGCAGCTCGGACACGCGCAAATTTAAAACCCCATGAAGAAAGTCGGCGGAGGGCAAAACAACGTTACCGTCAACCTCACCGTCAATCACGACGACAGGCCACTTCGCCTTCCGGTCGCGACACAATGAAGTCTCCTCAAATCCCTTGACAGTCCCCATGCGTCCGTCCCCCAAAACCACTTGCGCTCCACACCACAAGTGCAACGTGTGCTGCGGCATATCAAATGAAGATGGTGTTGCGGTCTGGGCGACAAGCACCCAACCCATCCGCTTTGTACCTGTGACAACTCTCTCCAGAAGCTCCTTGGCACAGTGTTTTTCCTTTGACGAAACAGCCAAGGAAAGCGCCATACGCTCCACACCTTCTCGAAGGTCGCTCACGTCTATAAGGGTGACTTCCCTCTTTAGAATAGTCTCTACGACACCACGAAAAAGTGGAAGCGGATCACCGCATGGATCTGGAGGCAATATACGCTCAAAAACATACGTGTCTGTCCATAACCTCCGACCCAAATCCGGCATCCACGCCGAGCAATAGGAGCGCACGTCCACCACCCCGGCCTTCAGTGTAGCGTCTACCGAGTTTTGCACACGCGACGCAAATGCCGAGATTCCGCACTCCTCTGGAATGAGAAGTGGATCGCGACCCACGTCGCCAAAGAAGTAGCGAAAATTCGCCGCCGCCAATGCCACCTCCCGCTTTCGCTCAAACGCCTCTAGTACTTTCAACGTCTCACTGCAACTGTGATGAAGTTTACGAAGCGATAGCCGTTGAAGCCGGGTGGCCGCTCCATAGTGCTTATGAAGCGCGTCCCTCACTTCGCAGAAAGCGCAGAGATCGGTGTTGACAAAAAATACATGGCGTCTGGACAAATCTGCACGCCGCAAATAACTGCAGAGGCGTCTCAACGACGAAACCAGCAGAGGCACTGGCGCGCGCTCCCCACCCATACCGGCCTTCGCCGCCAGAAACGGCAAGGCATCGTGATAGAAACGCAGCCTGTGGCCACTGTGCCCCTCAACAAGAAGCGCCTTGCCAACTTTGAGGGCCTCCGTGAGTTCGCGCTCCTCGTCGTCATTCATGCGGAGCCGTAACCTCGCCCCCTTCGCCAACGCCGCACAGAGACGAGAGAGGGAAGAAAGACAGGCACACAGATGTATTCGAATCAGCCAAGCGAAACGGCAGGAAGAAGCAGAAGCAAACAGCACAAACAAAAAAAAAACGAAGTGTAAATATGTGTAGCGCCTGTAGATATACACATATATATATATATATTTATTTATTTATTGGTGTCCCTTCACAGAGAAACAGACAAAAAAAAAAAGTCCGCGAGACTCGTCGCGCAACACACCGCACTGGCATAAGGAGGGTTGCCGCCTCAACCGGGACAAGTAACAAAGTAGCTACGCTCACAAACAGAAAACGGGAAGGAAAAGAAAGAGACAAGCACGCTTCACGAAAAGAAAAGACAAGAAGTAAACGTACGTCCCCGGGGGAACCCCACACATCCGCCGGCACCCACAAAACTGCTCCAACAAAAGAAGTAAGACAATGAACAGGATGGAAACACAAATAAAAAAAATGGCATTTGGGTACTTTCAAACAAGAAAGCAAAACAGAACACTAAAAAAAAATCCTATAAATCAAAGGCAAACACACACATGCATGTATCTGTGTACATATGGAAACGTAAGACAACTAAAAACTCAAAAAACAGCGCCCCGAATGTCCTCAGAGAGTGAAAGCATATGAGAGCAGAGCAGAGGCTGACGGTCGCATGGCAGGGTTGGGGTGACAGCAGGAGCGAACAAAATGGGCCACCTCAAAGTCAAGAAAGTCTGGCATCTCCGGCTCCAGGTAACCGCGGGCAAGACTCTGCACAAAGAGAAGGTCGCGGTTAAAAAGGGCCTGCAGTGACGCCGCATCGCTCCCCTCTGGCGCAGTACGGCTCCACTTCCACGGCAGACGCCCAAGCAGCATCTCTAGCAGTGAAATCCCCAGCGAAAAAATGTCCGACTGGGGCGTGCAACGACCCCCACTCGCCACCTCGGGAGCCATGTAGAGTGCCGTCCCACGCAGCATCACCTCATCCACCATTGTCCGCGCCATGTCAGCCGCCTCAGAAATGGTGGAGCCAAAGTCGGAAAGCTTGCACACGCCATCCATCCCGAGCAGCATG